CATATCTATAGATACACGTACACACAATATGATATATATATATATCACCCACGCAGACCCTTTTCAAACAATACCACATCCACATCCACATGCTAGTTATTGTTCATTCATACACGCACGTACCCTGATCCCTTATATATAATTCATTACTACACCCCATACCATTGTTGCCCACTATCTCGTCCGTCTGCGCATCCAGCAGTACACTCAGCCCATTCATGGAGATGTTCCACACCAATTTGTGCCAGCGCGCCCTTACCAGATCATCATCTATGACTACCTCCACACCGGCCTCTCCCAAGTCTTCCGCCAGCACACGCATAGCCTCCTGTACTATGCCTTCAGCAGGCTCGTGGTCCGCACGCATCGGCTCCGCAGTGCTCGAGTGCGTGTGCGGGGGTGTGCTGTGATCCGCTTGTGCTTGTGTGTGTGTGTGTGTTGGTGGCGAGATGTGTGCGCCCACAGTCAGCTTTCCGTAGTCCACGTGGGTGATGATCCCTGGCGAACTCTTCTGGGACGCAATAAAGCCCAGCCCGCCTGCGATGTTCTTCCCTGCTGTGAATGGGGTCTGGCCAGAGGTGAGTGCGAGGTTCGTACAGATATCCAAAATATTCGCCAAACCCAAGTCGGTCCTTTGCTTGTCCAGACCTGTCTCGAGGCCGTAAACATTCTGCACCGGGAACACAGCACTCTAGTCGTGCATTAGAGGCGGCAGTAGTTGTGCCTTACATACACATCGTACGGTATAAGATACACATGCATACTAAACGCATTCGCGAAGTACCTTCGTTTCTTTACCCAAGTCAGCCATTTGCTTGGCCAGGTTTTTCTCGAGACCGTAACCATTCTGTACCAGGATCACAGTACTCTTGTCGTGCATCAGAGGCGGCAGTAGTTGACTTAGCTTGTGGTTACTCGTAGTCTTAAGACACACCAGGATGGTATCGCATTTACCCATATCCTTGACATCTCTGCGATTTAATAGAGGGGGACAGTAAATGTGTTGATACCAGGATGGAAATAATCAGGGATGATCAGACGTTATCAGTTGTCTGTCTATGCTTCGATGTTGACAAACTGATCATGCATGGTTCGAGGGATTGAACTCCGGATAGTATTGTACGTGTCCGTACTATTGAAACTCAGATATAACGAGGTAGCTGCACCATCAACATATATGAATGTGGTACAACAAGGAAGTCTGTGTACAGATCAGCGGATGTACATCATTTGCACGTGACAATTTCAAATGGTTCTAATCCGCAACCTCAATGAAAACCCTGAGCGTGAAACCCTGATATCAGCGTGTATATCAATACATAAACGTTAAATAAAACGGATCACTATAAATAGTAAGAAAGTTGCATATGCATAGCATCGGATAGTAGTAAACGGTTTAGTCTATAAATATGGACTGCACCACAAAAATACGTGCCAGCGTTACTATTGTACGAATTTGTAACATTCACTCGGCGAACACAACAGCATGAGCATCACGAACTTCGAAATCATGTACGTATTGACCCTCACACTTCAAGACCAACCTACTATCTA